CCGGGGAGTGCCCGGTCACGGCAGCCCTCGCTGCGCTGAAGGGGCTGCGCCGGGCATCCGCTGCCCTCGGAGGGGCCAGGACCACAGGCGCAGACAAAGCACCGGCCGTGCATGGGCTGTAATTCGCAACCCGGGCCCATTCGGGTCTCTGTCCCGGGGCGTGCCCTCACTGCGGCCGCACCGGCCTCCGTGCCGCGGGCTGGGCCCGTGCCTGCTGCCCCGGAGAGCTCTTCTCTTGGCATCACCTGGAGCCTGCCCCCAGCACGCAGCCCTTCTCCCGGAGCCAGCAGACGGGCAGCCCCTGAGCCAGCGGCTTTGTGCCTTCCCAACCCATGGCAGCCGCTCGCAGCACTGGCAGCACTGCCGAAGGAGCCAGCCAACCCCAGGGTTGGCGGCGCCTTGGAAAAGTGGGGCAGGGACAACTCTTGTGAGCAAAGTGGGATGTGGGCAGAACTCTCTGTGGAAGCAAGTCCTCTTGCATAAAGCAAGATCTTTGTGCTCTGGGAGAGGTGGGACACCGGTGGCATGTGGCCCCTTGGAGTGGTGGTGTCCAGCAACAGCAGGCAACAGTGCAGCTGGAGGCATCTGGAAACACTGGGCATAGCTGCAGGGAGCCTTCCCTTACCTGAATGTTCGGGGGCCTTGGGTTGGGAGAACACTGCAAGCTCAGAGGACAGCAGCTAGCAGCTCAGCCAAGACATGGAGTGTGGAACAGGAAATCCACGGGACAGCTGGGGGTGCTGGATGCCCTGTGAGCCATTCTGTGCAGCTCTCAGGAGATGTAAGGGTGAGCTGCTCACTGTTTGCTTGTACTTTTCTTGGGGAAGAGGAATTAAGAGTTCTTTGATGGAGTGACAAAGATGTAACAAGGGCTAGTAGCTTCAAGATGATGTCAGGCAAATTTTGACTTGAAGTAAAATGCAAATTCTGACTGTTGACATTAAGCATCCATGGAATATTGTTTAGGTTGGGATGGATGTTTCTAGAGCTCCCCAGGCACTTCTGAAATGAATTTTGGATGCTTTTCCACACTGAGATCTCCTCTACCCTGCTGCCAGGTTGGAGGTCACACTAAATGGAGTCAAACTGATTGCTTTGGACTCCAGTAATCCATTTGCTACAGTGCTGCATGGTGAGTAATTAGTTAAGATGGAGATAAGTACAGAAATCATAAGAAATTACGAGAGTTTCCCAGAGGCTGGTCCTGGGCCCAGCTTTTATTAATGATCTTGGCACGCCAGAATGGATGTGCTAATAAAATTGGCTGCTTATCCAAAACTGGAGGCATTGTCGATACAGGGGAGGAGTGGGATATCCTATACGAGGGGGTAGGCAATTTTGAAGGCTAATACAGGAGAAATGGGATGAAATACAACAGTACAAAATGCAAGATTATGTTGCTAATGGCTGAGATCAGACTTTTCTGTTACAAGTTGACAGTAGGAGTTTACTGCTTGGAAGTAATATAGGAGAAGGAGGTAGGTGTCCTGCTGGTTCCAGTATTGGGCCACTCACTTTCTGCTCCAAGTGTTGGTCTGTGGTTTGAAAAGAGGTGGGGAAGCTCCATGGTCTGACATGCACTGGAAGCAATGCTGGTGGCTGTGAGCAGCAGTCATTAACAGGTTGCACATCTTGTACATGCTGGAATCCAGCTAGGCTGAGGGAGACCCTGACAGGGCTACTGAACATGTACCATAGGAAATATTTCACACTTGGCAGCTCTGGCCAGGGTTTGACAGTCTGAGCTGGGGCTGATGTAACACGAATGGCATCTGTTCTCATGGCGATCAAGACAGGCAAATGTGTGGGCCTTTGCTGCCTGTCAAAGCCCCTTCCACCTTCCACAGGGAGGGATGTCTTGCTTGAAGCTTTGCAATTGTTAAGGGATTTTGTTCTGGAGCCTACAGAAATAAAAATATTTGCAGTTGTTTCCCTCCTCCAAAACCCCTTAGAAATTGGGAGGTGCATGGAGGAAAAAAAACCTGCAGAAAAATTAAACTGAGATGCTTGGAGCTGGCAGCATGCTGCTAATGTGGAGCAGGATACAGCAGCAGTCTTTGCTGAGTGCTTTGCTTCCCAGTGGAAGCTTAATGTTTTAATGAATTGGCCCATATCAAAATTGGGAGTCTGGCTGGCTGCCTGATGTGAAGATTGGGTGGGGAAGAAAGCACTGTGCTGTGTCACTTGTTGCTACTGGAATTGCCCTGCATCCCATAAATCCTACTGCTGTCAAAGACCTGCTTTAGAAAACTTTTGGCCACTCTGAATAAGGTGGTCATTGTGCAACCATGTGGGCTTTCCACCATAGCTGTAGCTCTAACTACATGTGTGTGCCCTTGCTTTACAGGGGGTCTAGGACCAGAAGCATATGGGAGGGCTCAAGTGTGATTGCTTTCCCTGACTTTCTCATGGATAGGAGGACCAGACACAAGCTCTATTCATATGTCTGCCAGTCAAGGAGAAATCAACAGTAAACAGCACTAGTGGGGGACTCTGTTAGTCCTATTCTGTGTGATCAGGTTTGTGTTGAAACCAGATGGAGAGAGTCGGTGTTTAGATGTGAGAACTTGCCCGTGAAAGGAATGCTTGCGTAGTTCTTACTTGCTGTTCAGCTTAGAGGGGTGGCAGCAGTGTGATCTACAGAGAGGGCAGAACCAAACAAGTAAGGCAGACTGGGAGCTGAGAATACACCTGAAACCGTACACTGGGAAAGGCAAACCCTGGCACCACAGACCTGAACTGGACAGAAAGCAAGCACTGAAAACAGCTTTGGACAACCACAGCAGCAGCCGACATTTGTCCTGGTACCTGGCTCCTTCTCAGCTGGTTAAGTGGAGCCGATGTAGGCCCAGGGTCAAATGCTGCCTGTTGTGTCACCAGCAAGACAGAGGAGAATTCAACTGTTCAGAAAATGTAACACCAACACTAAAGGCAAGCAAAATCCACTTTGGCCACAACATGAAATGATGGATGAAAACTCTCTTCCTCCTGTTGCCCTCTCCAAGCAGGGAAAACTTTCAGGGGTAGGTGACAAACCCCATTCTAATAAGTGGAATCCAGAGGGATTGGAGGTGGGACAGATTTTAGATTTTGTTCTTTCTGCACATCTGCTCTTCTCTCTCATTGAGAATCTCTGAAGTCAGGAGTCAAAATTCTGAGACAGGCTCAGTTCCCCAAGTCTTTACATGTTTTCTTTCACCCTCCCTCAACTGGCCTGAGACTTCTCTCCCTGGGGTAGGCAGCAAGCAGCACAGAGTATCTTGGGGGAAAGTGAGAAGTACAGGTATACTGTCTGGGATGGGGACCCAGGGGAATTGTGAGGAGAAGCTTGAAGGGGGAGGGCAGTTCCAAACAAGTGAATGCACTGGTCATGCTGCTTCATGATCTGTCTGTCCAGGATGGCAGCCTGTAGGCTCTACCCTGGCTCTGGGAGGATCACCCTGCCAGCTACCTGTGTGGGAGGACAGCTGGCAATGTACTCCTACCCAAGGCTTCCTGCCCCAGGAATGCCTTCCTGTTTTAGCAGACATTGCCCTGGATGCTATCATGCTCCTCTTGGGATGCTCTTTTTTGGATCAGAAGGTCAGCTGTAAGTGTCTTGTAACCCCAGAGCTACAGTCCCCTCTGTCTCCTGGCATGTGTAGCTGTGTTGTTGCAGCAGCTGTTTGGAGGAGCTGGGGAGAATTGAGAAATGCAGGGCCATATTCCCATGGCCCTGTGGTGAAGCATGGGGCTAGGTGCAAACTGCCCTCTCTACCTCATGAATGCTTGAATCTGTAATTAAAAGAGAAGAACAGAGTATATGGAAGATCATAATTTCATAAAGCCCAGTGAGCCTGGCTTCAAAAAAGGAAAATCATGTCTCACTTACTGAATTCCTTGAACATGTCAAGATTTGTAAAGGGAGATAATATCTTTTATTAGGCCAATTGATACAGCTGGAAAAAACACACAAGCTTTCAGGCACAGAAACCCTTATGTTTTCTTTTCCAGCTATATCAGTTGGTCTAATAAAAAGTTATTGCCTCTGCCCACAAATCTTATTTCACTTAATCCTTAGATCATCACGGCACAACTACTTCAACATGTCAGAATGGAAAAAAGGAGAATTATTTGATACAATTTATTTAGATGACTTAAAGTTCCTCAGCCAAACCATGAGCTTCTACAAAAGCTAAGCAGGTATAGAGTGAAATCTAGTGCCTTTAGTAAAAGGTGTTCCTGGGAGGCTTAAAAGTTTACTTACAGAGTCAATTTTCATCATGGCAAAATGTTAACAGCGTAGTTTGGGGTGTGGTACAGTTCTCTATTGTAGCAGCAGAAGAAATTATTTAGGCTAATGAGGATGGGTGAAAATTGTGAGGAATGTGAGATAGCAGAAAAAAAAATAATAGGCAAAGGGACAAAGTACTGGAAAACTGAATGTTTGTTAAACATGTGGAGCTAAAACCAGATTTATTTACAATTAATCTGTACATCTGTCCAGCCAAGAAACAGACTGGGGTAGTTTTATACAGCTCAGTGGAAATCTCCGCACAACTCACGGCTGAGAAGCATGTGTGTAATGATCGTTGTGCTTACATTTGATCCTTGGCACCGCCTCCACCGCGGGCTCTGGGGACCGGCTGCCGCATCTGGAAAGCTGTGTTAGAGAGCCAGGGAGAATTGGGAAGAGCATCAGAAGCCATCAGGAGACTTTGGCAAAAGCCTCTATCAGGAGACACATGTGTAAGGCTAGGATTTATCTACCTTAGTGGGAACTTAAAAAGTGTCTACGGCAAAGAGCTGGAGAAGGCAGAGCGTCAGACTGTTCCCGGCCTGCCACACCGCAAGTGCAATTAGAAAGGGCTGAGAACCCGCATGAGGTGTTGCAGCCCCGGTGTCCCCCTCAGTCAGGCCAAGGTTCTAAGACTGCTGCGGGGGCGGATGTTTCTGCGGCTGCCAGGCGCCGGGTGCTCGGCCAGCCCGCGGGGGCGGTGGCCGGGCGGTGCGGGCCGAGCAGCGCGGCTGGGCGGGCCGGGAGGCGGCTGCGGGCTCACACCTGCGGCCAGCGAGGGCTGTGCGCCCTGAGGGCAGCGCGCCTCGCTGCGGGGCGGGGCGCGGCCGCGGGGCCCTGCCGTGCCGTCCGGTCCCTGCAGGGAATGGGCTCCTGTCCTGTCAGTAACTGTGTGCCCTCTGCTCCTCCGTGTGTCCCCCTGCACTACAGGTACTAAAGATGGGCCGTCGAGCCCGCCAAGACCTCTTTGCAGGTGAAAAACTCAGCAGGAAGAATTCCCCGTCTGCTTCCCTTGGAGAGGTGGGTGTCCTGTCAGGAGGGCTTGTCTGTTGTCCTGCTGTTGTCTCCAGTGGAGAATTATTAATTTCTTCTGAGATTCCTTCCTGCATGGTGTGCGTTGCCCGTTGAATTTTGTCCTTAGATTTGGGACTTGTGACTGCCCTGTCCCTTTCTGGTGTTGCCCTTTGTATCATAGTTTCCACACATGGTCCTGTCTAGGGCTATGGTTTACATGTCAGGTATGGAGGTATGGTTTACATGTCAGGTATCATACAGTATTGGGGCCTCTCCCTTCCGTGCATGCCTATCTTCCTGATATTTTAATTTCTAGATTTAAAATATGAGCTGGCACATAATTTTGTGACCAGTTTTGCCACCATCTACAGTAGCAAGGCAGATAAACAGATGCCTTACTTTTTTGCTTTGCTTTGCTAGAGCCAGAGTACATCTGACATGGTCTCTATCAAGTTTGTGTAGTGATGCTCTTTTTCATTTTCTCTGTGCATGGCTACAAAGGTTGTGCTAGGAGCCAGCTTTGCAGCATCTGGGACTTTTCCGTGTGCGTAATAATGTGCAAACTCAGCTCCCACTTGTCTTTGGAGGAAAACTTTGGTTCAGAGGCTGTTCTATTAGTACATCTTCAAATGATAGAAGGAGGTCAGGAACCCCTCTTTCTCAGGAGAGTGAGGCAACATCCTCAAGTATCCAGAAATAGATCTGAACTGTTTCAATTGATATTTTTGCTTAGTGTTGCAGAATGCTGAAATTCTTCCTGGAAGCTTTCTATTGGATGTTAGCATGGCTCCACCACAGACACCTCCTGCTAGAAGGAGCAGCTCTCAAGAAATGACATACCAGTTTTGCTCCCTGAGCAAAATGTCATCTGACAAAAAATGTCATCACCTTGTTGGCAGTGATATTTGTTTAAATGAGGTAATGCTTACTGTTTTGAAATGTCAGTCAATGATCTCCAGCATACCATATTCTTGGCTTCTTTAAACTGGAAACCATTTTGCCCTGCTGGCCACCCTGGCACCAACTCTGCTTCAGGCTACTCTGCTCACAGCCCTGGGACCTTCTGTCTTGGAGTGGCTACTCCCTGATTCCCTGTGCAGTGACAAAACTTTCCTATTACACTGAGTAGCTGTGTCCCAGACATCTGTGCCAAAATGGTTGTAGGGGGTTTTTTCCTTTAAGACCCTGTGATACTGTTGAAAATAGCACTATTACAGCTCAGCTTACAATAACACCTCATAGAGCAAGACTTTTTTTCTGGAGAAAGTATGCTCTTTTTTTGATATACATAATGGAGAATAATCTTCCACCTAGGGGTTCTCCCCTTGGATATGCTGTAGGCATTCAGGATGAATTCTGTGAGGGAATGTGCAGAAGATGCAATTTAAGAAATAGAAGTAACTGTTGACCTCATAGGTGAAGAAAGTCTTAGGGAAACCAGCTGGTGGTTTAAGGGGGTGTAATCATTAGCTGGCCTCCACATTAGGGTGGCTCACTGTCAGATTGTTCTCTTGCTGGAGCTGCCCATCCCGATTCTCTGGTTTAAAAGAGACCAGGGCATTGTGTAGAGGTACAGCTGATGGACTGTAACTTACTGCAGTTTGCTTGTGCTTACTGCTCACACCACAACCATTTCAATAGCTGGGAAGAGATCATAGGGGCTCCAGGACTTGGGCCAGTCCTGAAGAAGAGTAAGAAATATTTACAGTGTTCTGTTTGAGAGCAGTGAGTTTTTCAGCAGCAGAAGGGTAAGGACTTCCACGCCTTACAACATTCAAATATGTTAGTACTGGATCTTAACCACCAGGAAGAATAGTTTGTGTCAATAGTCTCCCTTCAGACATGTCTTTGTTGCTAAATGTTTGTGTTAATCGAGAACCTTGGAGGTACTGGAAGAAAGACAAAATCCACTGTGAATAATCCTCAGCCTTTTCCTTTGCTCCAAAATTGAAGGTTTTTTATACGTGACCATATTTGTTACCAAAGTGAGTATTTAACAGAACTAATAATGTTTTTTCCTTCACCCTAGACTGGAAATCGCCTTTTACTTTTCTGGAAGTTTGGCCTTGGCTTGCTGTTAAGTTGTGGGGTTACAATGGATATCTCATTCAGCCATCTAGTCATCTTGAAACCTTCATAAGAAATCTTCCCAAAAGAAATGCAAGATTAAAAAAAAAAACAGTCCTTTTATTTATTTTTTTTTTTGGTGGAACTGGCAGTAGGGGATCAGGCGCCAGGTAATTAATTTCAGCATAGAAGGTTTTATTCTTATTACTGATTTTGAAGGCAAAGGTGTTTGTCATAAACCTTTGCCATATTTACACCCTCATATGCAATTTCACATTCAGGTTAGTGATTTTGCTTTCAGAGGTTCCTCAGAGTTTTAAAACTGGTTTCATTCACCTTGACTCTTTTTGAATTTTTTTTTTTTAAATTCCAAGCCAATCCACTCAGTTTCCACCCATCTCAAATTTCTGGTATGAACATACCATTTGTGCTATTGTTTGGGTCTTTTCATAACACTGAGAAGCATCCAGGAAGTGTTTTCCTGTCAGAGCAGCTTGCTTGAAGGAAGCAAAAGGTACCTGTCTATCCATGTTTCAACATCTGGGCTTATTACAAGGAAATTCACTTAGAGGGCAGACAATTATTGTAATTAAAAAGATCTTTGTTTTGAAGTCAATAGGCAAATCATCTGACTTGAAGCATAGATCTTATCAGGTTACTGCTGATCTTTGCTTGGCCTGGGCTCTTCCAAAAGACACTCCAAACTGTGTGCTGCTCTATTCAACAAATGTGTGTTAAAACCTCCTTCCCCAGGGCACAGTTGCAATGTCTTGTGCCTTGTAGCCTAGTCTACTTCCCCCAAGCTCTATGAAAACACTGTGATATCTTAGTATTTTTTCAGTGCCTGTTGTGTGTATGTATTTCCCACAAAATTATTCTTAACTACAGCAGCAAATCTGTAATTCCTCTGTCCAAATCTCTACTTCATAATTCCCATTCTGTGTGGAAGTACCTGCATTATCTTCAGATGTAGACCTCCTCAAGGGGCTCATGGAAGGTCACAAAGCTCACACTCTGCCCATGTGACATACAGAGCATTCCTGCCTTTTCAGAAGTACAAGTACTAACAAACTACACTGCAGCTATGTGTTCTTTCACCAGGCAAGATCTAACATGATTATTTGCTGTAATTGGTGCAGTTGGCACCCTCCTGCAGCAAAGGCTGTGTGCGTTCCTGCCTTCAGAGCTCCTTGGCAGTTCAGCAGGCACTTCTTGGGCACCCAGGGGAATATGCTGTAAGTGGGAATTCCTAGAGATAAATCTGCTTGCTGCATGCCAGAACTCCACATTTCAAACATTCATTTCAGAGGGGTAATGTGTCTCTTTTTCCATTGAGAGGCCTTTCCCATCCCCTGGCTTGATGTGGTACATTTACTCATCTTGATGCTATCAAGTTTGTGACAGAATGGGAGAGACTCAAGCTAGTTGTGTTATTTGTATAATGAGAGGGACAGCTCATACAATGAGATCTGTTGAAGATCTTTGCTATCCCATGCTAACAGGACTTCTGGACACTTTTAATAAAAGCCAAACCTTTTTCCTGGCTCTAACATCACTGCACCCAACAGCCTGAATGCTGGCTTGATGACATCCATCAGAAGAAGTTGTTTGGCCAGGTTTGGAACTCTTGATGAGATTGATTTGAAAAGATGAGTGGAAAAACCTTTAAAAAAAAGTATCAGCAGATTTTTCCTTTCCCGTTTCTTCTCTCAACAAGAGTGAACTATTTGCTGTCCTGTAAGAAATCTGTATGCAAAAATATTTTAATGTTATCCTACTTCCATGGTCTATTTTTTCTTCATCCTACAGTGATGTGATTCCCTTGGGACCTTTTTTCAAGAGTTCCCTGGTTTCTGCCTCTTGCAGTCTCACTATGATTTTGCCAGCATATCTCTGGCAGCACTCAGTCCTTTGAATGGAGACTGCTTTACTAAGCAATGGTCAGCCTAAAGGATGAAGGTTCAAAATAGGTTTCCCTATTTTGAAAATAATTCCACACAGGTAGGACAAAATGACTTTATATCAGGGTTTGCCCAAAAAAAGTTCCCTGCTGGTTCTCTGCCACATTTTACCACAGCCTGGGAATAGGCTCTGCTTTCTCTTCTGAAAATATGTTCTTCTCTTGTTGTCCTAGCTGGTATTTGTAAGCTTGCTTATGTAGTTGTGGTCCTTGTGTGGTAGCTAAAAAGCATGTAAAATGCTGTAAAATAAGAATTGCTGAGGGTGAAACACACGTAAAAGATTGCTCCAAGAAGTGGTTCTTTAAATACTTTTCCTGTATGTGTTGCCCAGCTAGATTTTCTTCCATGCTGGTGCAAGTCTTGTGCCACTTGGGCTCTGTACATCCAGAGAAGCTTAGGTCATGTGGACCCCACAGAAGCCAACCTTTCTGCTGTTTGCTGTGGGAAGAAGCAGACCCCTGGCTGACAGATACATCCTTCCAACAGATTTTTACCAGTTGGGCAAATCTGATTTCATTTGTGCTGCTCATTGGTAAGGACACTTTTGTACTCCAGCTGCTCTAACTTGTATGTAGCCCCACTCTGCTCTTGTTGTAGTAATATCATAAGACCAGATGACAGCAAAGACACAAAATGAACTCAGGTACCAAACCACTTCTAGGAGAGGTATATGCAATTTATAATCACATGGCTTCCATGTTCCACAGGGGAGATTATTTAATCCAGAAGAAAAGTCAGGTGGGTTAATGGAGTGTTTCCAGCCATCCTATGCATACTCCTGGTGTAGAGTCACAGGTCAATCTAGAATACTCTAAATTCTCCTCCACGTGGTTCTGAACACTGTGATTTCTAGAACAGCATAGAGATTGTTGGGTTCCTAATTACCTCCTTGCATTTGGTGCCTAACAGCACTGGTTGTTGCAACTGCTGGTGCTGACAGTCTGCTCATCTAAAAGGTTCTCAACCAGTTTGCAACTTTCACAGTGATTAACAGGCTGATTTTCTTGAGTTACTTATCTACCCCACAACCAACCTGCTCCTTTATAGTGTTAGCTAAAGATCATCTGCTGAAGCTAACACTGATGGCAGCTATGCCTGTCTTACACTAACTGCTGCAACCTGTGCTCTCAGGGGAGAATCTGAGGTTGCCTTGAGAAACAGTAGCTTCTGAAAAAAGGACTGTAGCCTGCTACAGTGTATAACCCCTAGTATGACTGGTCCAGCATCAGTTCTAATCTCTGGCATGGCTGCAGTGCTTCTCCATATGAATCCTTCTAGGATCCTACACACCTGAATAATTTGAGATTTATCATGCTATAGGGAGAATGAACTGAGTCTGTTCTCTTCTTGCTCATGTTTTGGGGTGGTTTTTTTTTTTTGGTGGGTTTTTTTGTTGGTTTTGTTGGGGTTTGGTTTGTTTGTTTGTTTGTTTTCTTTAAGTATCACAGTTGGCAACTGCATAAATGATTGGATATAAAATGTTATAATGGTGGGATCAACTTTGTGCTTTGTTCAAGTGAATAAGGTTGCAAAGCATGTGCTGCAGGACACTCGTAAATGTCAGTCTTCAAGCTGTTTTGTGCAGGCTTCCATAGTGCTTCCTTTTAACTTCTTTCTCTCTTTTTCCCTCCTGACCCTTCAAGGATGAAGACTATCAGGAAAAGGCTGACCATGTAAGACTCAAGGCTTTCTAGGTAGATGCTGGCTCCTCTGAAGGGGACTAGTAGGATTAACCTATTATGTGTCTGGAGACTACCTTAAGAGGGTACTCTAGTACTGGAGAATAATATAAAGTTTGCTTTGGATGCAGTGCCTTTCCTGCATCCTCTGTTTCTGTTGCTGACAGATTTTTAATTATCTTTGAAACAGCTGCTCTTATCAGCTGCTGCATCTTGTTTTGAGGTCACAGATGTATATGTGGCCACTGAAAAGATGCTCTATTTTCATCTAAAAGTCAGGACAGCAATTAGCTAATAGAGTACAAAACCTGACTTAACCTAGATTGCTGTCCAGTATGGTTAGTTTGCTCTTATAACATGAGAACTTATCTTTAGGGATGCTGAAGTCTTGCTGGTGCCCCAGAGGAGAAGGCCAGGCAGTAGTAACAAGGACATGTGCCTTTGGATTTTCTATGACTCTTTTCTTTTTATTGCACCAGCATTGAATGCCAGAATCAATAATAATGTCACAGTGCTTCTTACCAGGCTCCTGTCACACACAGAGAAGTCACACATATCCTTTCTTATTCTGCACCAAGGCTAAATACGCCTTAGCATTAATTTAGCATTAGAAGCCATTCAGAACAACCTGAGAAGTTCTACCTCTTTCTCTTGAAGTCTTTGGGCTAGTTGCCTTACGCTCTTCCTAACCATGGAATTGGTGTTGCCCAATTCTTCCTGCCTAGAGTTTCTCTCTCTTTGATAATTAAAACACCCTCTCCTGTGCTCTTAATTCCTTCTGCTGAAGGACCACTCCAGTACTGGTAGCACAGTAGATTCATCTGTGAAATCTAAAGCCCAGAAAAGAAACCCGCATCACCCATCTCATTAATTCTGGCCTCAGAAGGATATGCTCATCACAAGGAGGCAAGGCTATTCAGATTAGCTCAGTTTTCTCTTGGTAGTGCAAGAGATGATATTGTAAAAAAGATCCACTGGGTTTATTTGGCAGTGATGGATGGTTCAGGACTATGCCCAGAGCACTTTTCCATTTATCAGGCAAAGAGACCTCCCACTGATGGGTATAGTTTTGGGGACTGGTTGTCTAATAGAAATTTTTACTGATAATTGATCTAATCTTCCTCCCCGTGCCCCCGCCTCGCTGGAACCAGTCCTTACAGTCATTTCACTGAAACTAATTCCACCTCCATACAGTGCCCTAAATCATTGATTCCCAAGGTCTGCTGTTGAGTGCTGACTGGTCACATGCCACAGGCACCTTGCTTCTGGCTGCTAAATTTCATTAAAATAACTTTACTGATGTGACTCTTCCACATGAGCAATTGTTGCTTCAGGGATGTTATGCAATGGTGCTTGGCAAGGAGATTTACTTAGTATGAGGGAGCCTGCTTTGAAAATGGTTTTGTTTGGATAATTCCTGTGTCCTTTTTGCAGGCTTGTGCTCTTAAGCATGACAGTCACACTTTATAGTATTTTTCCATTTGGAAAAGTGTGTAAATGGTATAAAATGGTTAACTGAGCATTCAGAAATCTGACTGATTAGTAAGCTGCTTGTAACTTATACTACAGTATGCTTACAAACTTCTGTTACTTATATGATAAGTCTCCTCCAAATCAACTGTTAGTGGAACTTTGTGTTATAAAATGTGATTCAAATCTTGTTGCAGTATATCTCTGCCTTAGTCATTGCCTGGCCAATCTGAAATACTTGGCTTCTTGAATCATTTGTCCGAAGCTGGCCCCTTCATCCCCCGGATGGCTCATATAACCCTTCTCTGAACTCCCTTTGGGCTTTGCTGAGTGTTATAATATGAACTCTTCCTGGATTTGGTCCCTTTCCTCTTGCTGTGCTGAAGATAACTTTGTAGCTGCTTGAATACTAACAAACAACCTCATCAGGGTTGTTGATGTCAACGTACCTGCTGAAGTCCTGCCCTCCAGCCATCTGCCTGCTCTGAAACTTGTTTTGCATCCCTTGGCAAACCACTCATCTTGCATCTGAATTTTTGCCAGTTGAATCACTCATTTGGCTGCACCTTCCAAGACTGCCTGGGATATTTAGCCAAAGGCTGTAAGGCTAATCAATGGTATAATAAAGGGTGTATCCTAATATTTCAGTTAATTTGCAGAAGCAGAATAAGCAGGATTATGAATGTGGTTGTGAGCCAAGATTTTGCTGGGTTCTTTTTGTGGCTTTGCCATAGATTTGCTTTGGGACCTTGGAGAAGTCCTTCCACTAGTTTTCTTTAGTCCCTATCTGAAAGGAAAGGTAGAGCTTTATGCAGAAGCACTGTGGGTATTCCCTAAACAGACCCACAGGGGGATTTAGATGCCTTATCCTCATAACAAAATCCATATCCTGCACTGGGTGCCTGTGTAGTACATAGATAATCTCAGGATGGGCTGGTGGGTCTACTGCGATGGTAAAGAGTGGCTGGTAATGGCAGTGTGTGCTTCTGTGGAGTTCTGGCCCCATTCTGTGAGCTTTGGGAGTGCATGTCCTTGCACTACCAGTGAGAAAGCCTGATCCCCATCCTGTGTTTTCTAGCCTTCAGAAGTAGAGCAGGGCTTTTCCTTCCCTTCAGGGACCTCCATTTCCTGAGTAAGCAGATGTTCATTTCAGTGTTGGAACCTCATGCTTTAGACATAGAGATTAAACTGGCCATCTCCTTTCTAAGCTGGAAAACACTGATTTTATTGTCATCTTCCTTCTCTGAGAAAGATGTAGCAAGTAATGTTTGCCACCTCCATAAGGAATATTATATATCATGACAAGTCTATGAGCTGTTCTGAGTCTGAGAAGGCTCTCAGTCCTTTCTGCTGAAGCCACTCTGCTTTGCAAATGGAACCAAAAGAATTTTGGTACGATGGGAAAAGACTTTCTAACTGAAGGCAACAATATTTGAGTGGGAAGACATCAGTTCCAATGGGTCCTGCTGGGACCTCATCCTCTAGCTGTGCTTTGGTAGAGGTGGCATAAGTAGTCTCAAGGTCCATCACAGACTAAAAATAGGGAAAGCACCTGATTTCTGACCCTTATACAGGTGAATGCTGGCCTCTGTGACTCTGTATCACTCAGTGTTTGAATGACAACATGCTTTAAGGCAACAACTGGAAAGAGGATTTGAAGATCTGACCTTTCCAGAGCAGGCATCAAAGTCCTTTTGTAGTTCTCATTGCCAGTGCTTCTAAAACATTTGAGTGGAAAAATGGGCTATTGCTTTTTAGGGTAGGTCAGCATGCCAGGATCAATTGTTTTCATTCAATGTTTGTTGGAAGAACAACTATAAAAAGAACGTAAGTACCTGAAATATAAAGCCAGTTGTGTTCTTAAATTGCTAGGTCACCCAGTTGGGTGAGGTTGAGTGAGTGTATTTGTATTCTAAAATACAGTGCAGAATGATGTGGAGATCCCCTGGTGAGAAGCGACCTGCACTCTACCTGGGGAGGTACTAGCTTCATTACCAGAAGTACCTAAAACAAGACAATTTCCAGACTTGAGCTGACTCATGTGGATCCTGCTTGCAGGTGTGTCTGCACCTGTGGTGTAGACATGGCCTGGGGCTTGATATGATCAGGGCCTTTAATCAGAGCGGTATTTTCCTGACCCAGTTCTTACCCTTGCATAGTGGTTGGCACCCAGCTCTAAACTCTCATTCCATTGTCTGGTCTGGTCTGGATCTGTGCAGCAGCCACCCCCAAGTGCTCTCCCTTACATTCCCTGAAACTTTAAAACATACAAGTGAGGAGAGCTCTAAACTCTCATTCCATTGTCTGGTCTGGTCTGGATCTGTGCAGCAGCCACCCCCCAAGTGCTCTCCCCTACATTCCCTGAAACTTTAAAACATGCAAGTGAGGAACCCAGCACCAGCTGTACTCGGCTGAGTGTTGATCAGGGAACCTTATTTGTGTAAAAATAATCACAATGGTTTGGGCACTGTCCTTCCACTCTGGTTTAGAGAGTTCATGACCTAGGAAGTCATAATTGTAATGTAGTCACAGTCATTTCTGTATCTACAATTTGCACTGCAATAAGATCTAGAGAGTGTTGGTGTATGGCTGGGAGAAAAATTTCCTATTCCCAAAGATCTTACAGTCTTACTGCAATGTTTTCCTCTAGCATCCTGTTCTCCCCTGTGATCTTCAGCTTGTAGAGGAGCCTTCAGCAGGGGTAGCTGCATTTTGTATATGGCATGTTGCCAGGGTTTTGCTTTCTTAGGCATGCATTTGGGAGTAGGGTGAACTGGCAGTAGATAGCTCTTGAAGCAATTGGCATTTCTGAGAACCTGGGAGGGTTCTCTGAGGCAGAATTTCCCATAGCTACTGCACACTGCCAATGCCCTCTCATTCACGTGGTCATCCTGGGCTGAGCTGCATTTGTCTCTCCATGTCCCAGGGTTTCTGTCAGGTGTTTTGATTCTTGCATTATTCTAGTAAATACCCTCCACTGAAAGGATCCAGCATCCAAGGAAGCACTGGGTTTTTTACCTGATTCCATTTTACAGGGTTTGCATATTTTTTTTTTTTTTTTCCCAGAGCTCTTCTGGTTGCTTGTAGAAATGCTGGACTCCCAGACTGTTCCTGGGGACCTCTCATCTGGAAGTTGGCCAGATTCTCCAAGAGGAATCTCAAAAATGCAGCTGAACTTTTGTTCCCTAATTAGGCTAACTTCCCCAGTGTGAGCCCTAGCACTGCATGGCCTGGAGCTCCCCAAGGCCTTGTGCAGCCTCTCTCCCGTGCACCCCGACTGGCTGACCAGCAGGGCAGTTATTTTCAGCTTTCTGAGCTTATCTCCTCGCCTTTTGATGACATCTTCTGAAATAGTATTTCTAGTCAGCCATGTTTCCCAGCCTTTCTAGCAGTCCTGCCTGCTTGTCTACCTTGATGTGGATTAGGGACAATCTCATTGAAAATAATTTTATTAAAAGCTTTTCCTTTTCCACACATTTATTTCATACTTTGAGTGCTTCTGGACCCACCTCAAGTCAACAAAAGGACTGTAGGAGGTGGGAAAATGTCTGACCATATGTAGCATAAAGTGGTAGCAAACTTAGAAATGTTCATGCTTGGGAGGGCTGGAGGGGCACTTCACTATAACTATGGGTTGTGAGAGGATTCTACGTGGTGACCCCTTGTTTAGAGAATCAGATTGTTGTGTGCTCAGTCACTGTTTTCCTGCAAGGGAGAGCAGTAACTCCTCAGACAGTTTCAGGTGCCAAATCCTGCAAAGGTGATAGCTTTCCTCAGGGGTGCATGTCAGCTGACAGACAGCTGGCCACTGTTTTGGGAGAGCAATTCTTGATTAATAGCTAGTTAATTATATGAACTGCTCCTTTACCTGTGATAGATGACAGAGAATATTTGAAGGCCCCCAAGAACTTCTGTTTCAGTAACACTTTCCCTAGTAAAGGAAAGCCAGTGACTGTGAAAAGAAGGACAGTTTGTGGATGAAATGCAAATCCAGTATTTTCTGCTGAGTATTTAAGACATGCAGAAGTCCTTGGAGGGTATTCATTAAAATCAGACGCACTATTTGTACTGTCTATGGACATGATAAAGAGAGACAGAAGAGATGGGTTGTTCTTTGCAAAAAGCTCAGGCTTGCATAGATCTTGGAATTGATGTGTTTTTGATATCATACATGCTCTGAGATCAGTATAGATTATTTTATGTGGCTGTTTAGGAGCAGTGAGGCTGCTTGACTTATAGCTCTTTAAATGGCAGTAATCAAAACCAATTCATCAGGCCTCGTTGTGGAGATTTGCTTTTCTTCAGTCAAGGGAGCCTCTGGCATCTTGCTGGAGAAGAGAATCCTTAAGACCGCCCATACTTCTTTCTTTCCACTTCTTGGTCAACGGATAAAAATAAGACACCTACATACTGTGTAAAATCTCACAGTGTTTGTATATTGGAAAAACATAGATTCTACGTAATTTAGGAGAAATATGACATGATAGAAGAATTGTGTGTCCTCTGATGCATGCTCTCAATGTCATTTGAGTCCCTGCATCCCTGCACAGAGTGCTCAGTGTTTCAAAGGAGTTGTCATGTTGATGAAGGTAAATTAATCCATATTTCCAGACCCACCTGAGCATCTGAGGGACTTAACCTGCCCATAATCTACCTCTGTTGTGGTAGGTCCTAAAAGAAACTTTGCTGGACCTTCAGGATTCAGAGACACACAGGATAGTTTCTTCCATGGGGGAAGCAGTATTCAAATGACACCTTCAGAACTGTAGACGTGATCTGACAAGTAGCCTGGAAATTTCTGCTTTAATGGGGAAGCCAGATTAGAATTCTGCATCTGTCTGATAAGAAAGGGCCTGGAAAACAATAAAGAAGAAGGCAGAGTTTCTACTTTGATGCAGGAGAGATGGAATTCAGGCCAGTCATTTTTCCAAGGGAGAGATAAAATACTGATTGTGGATGTAGTATCAAAGTTATGGTATGGAAGGTGGCCTGAGAAATACTGGAAAAATGCCTTCACAAAGATGGTGAGCTGAATTTCTGAGGGGAAAAAACCAAACACAAACAACGAAACAAAAAACTCAGACCATGGCAGTTTTCCTTGGAAAAGGGACAATCTGCAGAAACTCAAGTAGAGGAGATCTTCTGGAGATAAATAATGGATGAAACCGAAGTGGAAAGGAAAATCCCAGCAAGTAAGTGATTAGTTGATGCTGTGAAAGAGACTGAGCAGCAAGGACTGAGAAACAACACTGTTGTCAGGAGCTGGTGGAATCTCAGTGTTTTGAACACTAAACTGTTTGGATATAAACTGTATAGCTTTATATTTGGGAATATACATACAAATCTTGCTTAAGGTGTAACAGTAGGTACCAACAAATTCTGCTCATTTAAATCTCCCAGACTTTTTCACCAAAAAGGTATGTTTAAGAGCACATTTGCTGCATTACAGAAGAACAGTGTACTCTCTTTTTGCTCTGATCCCTCTGGGGTTGACATTTGTCCCACTTTCTGTCTCAAGCTCTTGCTTGCAGCTGCAAAGTCCCTACCTGTCACCATATTATGCCAAAGCATGACATTGCATTCTCAATTGTAAATTACACTGAGATTTTGGAACTGTGACAGTGTATGAAGGTAAGTTATTTACTTGACAAAAGTGTATGTGGCATGTGACCTTATTGCAGCACTTTCCAGGCAGCTAGCAAAGAAAAGCTATTTCTCCTCAGCTGACAGTTAACATTGCCTTTGCTGTTGCTAGTGCTCCTGTAGGCAATTCAAAAAGAATTACCTGATTTATTGCAAGAGGAATAAAAGACCTGTAGGTGTATGTGAAGTGTTTTTTCAGGATCTGACAGACATTCAGGGTTGCCTGGTGTGTATGATCAATGAGAACACAGTATAACATTGGCAAGACATTGGAATCAAACTCCTAGATGCCCTGGAGTCATGCCTTGTGCAAAGACTGGGCCAGACATTGTCATCCCTCTGATCTGGTGTGCCCCACTTGAGTTATTTTTGATCTGAAGGCTAGTTTTTTGATGAGTAAATTAAATTGCAGGGGCACTGAAGTGCCCTGGACATGCTGCATTTTCCCTCAGCCTTACGGCCCAGTTTTTTTGGTGTGATTTTTGTAGCCCTGTGCACCTTTGTGAGGAGTTGTGAGGCTGTGTGTTGGAAATAGGATTGCTGGCTATCAGAGGGATAGTGTAAGGGGAAAGGGGGTTGTTTGCATGGGAAGCTTCTGTGTGGGAAGGAGCGTGGTTTTGAGTTAGGGGTGTATGTAATGGGAATGTTTATGTCGGCATGCACGCCCATATGTGGTGTGTGTTCCCACTTTTTCCTGGGCTCTGGGTGTGTCCAGATCAACTGAATTCAAAATGCTCCTTTTTTGGCACTGTAGCCTCTTCTCTGGTTTGGCATCTTAAGAATCTGGGGGAATCATTTAAAGATCAGAAAACTCCATTCACTTGGGCCCCTGAAGGCTTCACATTCTGTGACATGGTCATTCCAGTCGACTGAGCTCTGTCCCCTACGGATGAGCCCATATAAGGAGGCTGTTTCCTGCGTTTCACGCTCCCTGCCTGTCCCTCTGCCCTCCTGTGCTCCCTTTGCTGAAGAAAGTTGGTATTTTGGGACTGCAGCTCCTGCCTCATTCCTGCTCCCTGTTTATTTTTGGAGGATGACTATTTTTGCTCCTATCAGAGAGCTATGCAGGGTCATACCCCCTCCCTGCAGCAGGCAGAGGCTGCCCCTGGCAGGGTCTCTTAATTTCCCACACTCACAAACAATGATTCTACTTCAAGAAATAAACATGCAAGACCCCTACCATCAGGGTTAGCTCGACCCTGTCCTGATCTGTGGCAAGAGGCAATTTAGCTTTTGCTCAGGGTTGACCCCACCACACATGCAAGGTCCTCTCTGAAGTCAAAACTCCTTGGGAGTCATCCCACTCATTCACTTCCTTAATAAAAGCTGTGGAAGCCACCTGTGTCCCCACCATTCCTTTGCAGTTAGCATTTTTTCTCTGTTTTGGGACATCTTTTACCCAATCATTCTTTCTCATGATGGTCCATTCACAGGTCCCTGTAATCCATCTTCCCTCACTGGGCACCATCAATTGGGAGCTATGTAAGCTGGGTTCACCTTGCCTCTGCTTTCATCATTGCCTGCCATGCAGAACACTGAAGGCAGTGCTGTGCAAAGTGCCTCAGGCTGGGGGAACCAAGCCCAAAACTGTAAATGGCAGCTTCCAGATGGTGGGAATTCATGGCCCCATTTGGAAATTCCCATCATAAGCCCCAAGCTGAATTCCCATTTTCTCTTGCCATGTGGCAGAGTGCCACACAAGACAATGCAAGAAAATAGCAGGGGATGTCTTTAAGCTCCAGATGATCTTCCCCTTTGGATTTCAGTGGTGGCAGTGGTGGGATTCATCCCAGCTAACTTTGGAAGAGTTTGGGTATGGATCACTCTGTCTGAACTTGGCATCTATCCTCCTATTCTAAGCAGTGGACAAAAGCAAACTTTTTAGGAACAATTCCTCATGTAAAACAAGATGTCTAAAACATGCTGTCTTGTACCCTAGGAAAGGCATAATGTGATACCTCCCACTGATATGTGGGCAACAGTGATGAACAAGTTCCCAGTGAACCCTATTTTGTCAGGAGAGCACACCCTCTGTGGATCAGTCAGCTACTGTATGTACTGTGTGTCCTCCAAATGTCAAAGGCACATAGACCTGAAACTTGACAAGATAGGGTGATGCATCTTTTGTTTACAGAAAAGCTTAAAAACTTGTAGTTTTTGTCTTCCTTTTATTTTATGACTAAAGAGCATTTTAAACACTACCTCTCCATTATTTTGTAAAGTATTACATTAATGTGGGGACCTGGTGTCTCAGTTGGCTTGACCGGAGCTGTCTGTAACATGTCTCTTCTCTTTATTAAAGGTTCCACCACCTAAGCCCCCACGCCGGCAAGGAGGCTGGGCAGATGATCCTGTACTGGCACCTACCAAGTGAGTCCTCACCTCTTTCCTTTTTAAGAGGGGTTTAGGTGTGGAATGAAGGAACATCACTAGTTGGACCTTGCTGTCACAGACATTGGAACAGTTTTCCTGGGTCTTTCAGATGGTCTTTCTTTCCAATATCAGTGTAACTTGTTCAAGCCATTTGAAGTATTGCTTTTGCTTGGTTCCATTGGCTAATTGATTTGGCGAGGCTTAGAACTGTGTACATGTCCCTGTTTGCCAGTGGCAAATTATATTATATTCCTTACCTGGTACAGTGCCTGGAAGGAGTCAAGAGCATAATAAGCATGTTAAATGCAGGAGCTGGGATGGGGGGATTTGAGTGGTTCCGTCCTTTCCGGGAGAGTGACACATGACAGCACCACACTGACAAGAGTGCAATGAATACATCAGGATTTAGTGATCAGCCTCGACAGTAAAGGTGAAATTTGTCAATGTTTATGTGTGTATAGGGTTATGGTATAATGGAGATGGATGGAGATGGTCAGCAAGAAGAGATGGGAGGAAAAAGTATACAAATTGTAGAACATGTGTTGAGAAGTCTGATGCTTACATGAAGGACACATAAGACAAGGAAGTATCTGGACATGGTATTAGAATAGTTATGAAAACTAAAGGACAATTCAGACTGGGGAGGAGATTACATGCTTTCAAATAGTTGTGGTTCCAAGCTTAGAAGTTATGCTGATATTATATTTTATATTCACAGAACTGAAAGGCTGAGCTGTGGAGTGATGTGAGATTGCTTGTGTAGTTAAAGGCCTGTAATGAAAGTCTGTATGTCTTAACATATACTTTGGAGGCACTCTGATTTATGAAAAGTTATGTATTTTCTTGTCCGAAACTGAGAATGGATGAGGACTCCAGAAACCTGTTATACAGTCAGTATTTTTTGGGAGGGGAAGAAAGGTGGTCTGTATTCTGGGATAGCCTTTCCAAAAAACAGTACTTTCCTGGGAAAATTATCACTCCATTTGTCTCTGAAAAATAAATAGTCTGGAAATCTGGAGACTAGAATAAAGCAAGGGAATTAAGATCTCAGTCTGAACTGCTCTTGCTCTCCAGTTTAACCCTGATAATGGTTATTTTCATAGGCTGGCTGCAGCTAGAAGTTGCCATTGCAAAGATGCATCCACCTCAGGGTATTAAAAAAGTGCCACCAATGATCCTGGATCTTTGTAGGATTGTTGGGTAGGTGAGGGACTCCATTGGAGGTGATACATATGCAGGGCTGTGCCTAATGTGCCCTGAAGGACAGTGAACAGGTTCCTAATGTAACACCACTGTGCCATGTGCTATTTTACCATGTTTTCCATTGTTTGGCATTAGCTTTATCCTATAGATTTGCAGCAGTAGCTGTAGGTGGTAGCTCCCCCAGCATCTCGATTGCATGGGTTACAAGACATTGTAGGTGTCTGGAGTAAAGGCTTCTATGACACTGGATGTAGTTCATCTGGAGAATCAGAACAGGACACAGGATTGCAGACTTTCTGTCTCTGAGAATCTGCACACTGGGATGTGAGACCAACATGTGTCCCTTGCTGAATCATGCATGTGAAATGTCATATCTGACAGTGTTCATTTGTAATAAGGGTTTTTATTGAATAAGTTTTATTAAGAAGTTTGTTCTGACTTTCTCCAGTCATATGAGGTACAAGGGTTTTGTACAACTAATTCTCCTGTCTTTCCTTTCCTGTGTATTCTCCCCAAGCTGATCTCTCTTCTTCTCTCCCTTAAAAAAGTCTGAGATGCTGGCCTGTAGGGCTTGCTTTTTGACATATCCCAGGGTAAAGCCTTCATGTGAAAACTCTGAGTCATCGGCTGATGTCATACCAATGTTGCTGTAGCTTTGTTGTTTCTGTTTTCTCAGGCTCTATCTCCCCCCAGCTTTTCAACCAATTTGACTCAGTTTGGAAGCCATCAAGTTAACTTGCTCCAAGTTCACTAGTGTAGATGTAGTTAGAATAACATGCTTCTGTTGTTATATCTGATTTAGGTTTAAGCCCTTTTTTGACAGTGTAACTGAACCTACACTTGGGAATAGTTCTGTTAGAAGTAATTTGATTTTCAGAATTGACAATGCTAAAATCTGATTATTTCTTTCTTTCACTTAGAAAGGAAGGATGAGCAGAGTGAGGCTCACATGAGGCTAAAGTTAGATTTTCTGTGTTGTGTAAATGTACTGTGGGTCAGATGGAATACTGCAGCCACTTGTGCAATGATCTTGTAGCTATTTATGTTATTATTTCTCCATTTGAACTCTTAGCTTTTAGTTCTGTTTCTGACAGATTCAGTCAGTTACGACTGCATAAGTGTTGCTTTTCCTGCATGGATGCTTTTCTGCTATATTTCTAGTTCAGAGTCTTATCAGTATGAAACAATCACTTGAAATTGTTCTTTTTATTTCCATTTGGCACATGTTAGAGTAGAATTTAGTTTGTAACCTGCTTTTCTACCTTTGTGCTCTCTTTTAGTCCCTTACCTGCCCAGCTCATGTCATGCTTATGTAAACTTGTAAATATTCTCACCATCTTGCTGATTATTTCCATCAGACTGCTGCTCTCCCAGACTGTTGCAAGATAGGAAGAGGACAAGGACTCTTAAAGTTTTCCAACCTAAATTATTTTTTAAATTAATTAGCACAGATGGTGTGTGAGATACAGTATTTTATCATGAGTTCCCATAGCATTTGCAAGTGTCAGATATTGAAATTGCTGAGAACTATCAAAATGATCTATTTTACTCATGTTTTCGAATGCCAAATGTGGGAAGATTACTTTGCACTCCCAGTACTCTTATAGAACAGTTGTCATTGCTAGGAGTCCCGTTTTGTAAATCTGGATAATGATGAGGACCACTGTAAGTGTCTGAGCAAACCCCCAGGTCCTTTGCAAATAGCAACTAAGTGGTTCAAAGTAGTGACAGAAAATTAATTTTTCCATACTACCAGGGCCATCTGTACCTGAATCTGCTGTATCTAGTTGAACTGGTACTCAGAAGAATCATTCTCTATGAGAAGAGGTGGTCTCATTGTTGTCCCAGCAACATTCTAGCCCCAGTGTCAGCAGAAAGGGGACCAGCCAAGAACCTGGGCTGCCACTTGGGGCCTAGTAACCTGCTGAGATAAATAGCAGTAATTACAGCTGGGTTTTCCTACAGAAGCAGCTCTCTAACCACTGGATGGAGCCCAAGTGCCATTCTGAAAGCTGTGCTGATGTCCCTAATGACATCAGTGCTGACACTTGTGACAAGCAAAGCAAGCTCTAATGTCAGGTTATCTCACGCATCAAAAGAAAGAAACACAAAGTGCCTGCCGGTGGGGGAAGGAAAAGGGAACTCAGTTTTTCATACTGGTGAGGATTTGATAAAGGAGGGGTGCTTCCATGATTCATTTAATTGCAAATTCTTTTGATCTTGTCTCTCTGACTTTCCTCATAGAATTTCTTCTATTTTCTTCTCTAACAGTATCATAATTTCTTTGCTTCTTAGGTCTCTCAATTTGCTTAGGTGCTTGATCCCTTTGGTCTTGCAATGAGCCCCGTAAAATGCCTACAGCTCTGCAGGCAGCAGCTAGGGTTGTTAAGGAATAAACAGCTTGTTTCAGGTAGCCCTGCAAGCAAACACAAGTGCTGCTTTCAGTAGGAAGTCCTTCCAGTGCCTGCACATGTACCTCATTTCTTCTACACGGATGATGGCAGTTTAGCAACAGGTGCTTCAGCTACAACTGACATTTCCCCTTTCTGACTGACAGGCCACACAGAGCTGGAATAATCAAGGCTTGTTTAGGCAAATGACCATGCTGAAGTATTTTGGAACAGAAGTGGTACAGTGTCCAGGAATGGATTTGTCAAGAAGGTGAATATTAAGTGCCTGTAGGAAGGAAGAGGATGCAGTTGGGGTGACCTTTAGAGGAGGGTAACCCAGCCCCTCTAATAGCATAGATATCATTTAAGGCTCTGAATGGTGAGCAGTGGTGAAATTGCACCCTGGAGCCGGAGGAAAGTTATTTAAGAGATTAAGGGGTTTTATGATTCAAGGTCTCCAGAGATAAGTAAAGTTAAAAACCTCCTGTTTCAAGAATATGGGCTTAAACTATCCTGTATTCTCTCTATAAGAAATGACCCCTGAGAGTGCGTGGTTGTAGAACCTCTAGCAATCCCCGTCTTGCAGATGGGCGTAGTAAAGTGCTCATGAGTTTCTTGGTCTGGGACAGAGGGGGAAAGCTTGTGTCATTGCTTCTGTTCTCTACTTCCAATCCAGCAGCATTGTGGCGAGTCTCAGTCTGGACTTCTCTGTGACACTGCCACATTAGGAGCAGAGCCAGACTCCTGGCTGTATGGGGGATGTCTTGCTCTGCAGCTTGCAGCCATCTGTGGATGTCCTTAGTGAAGTGAAAAGTATAGGCAGAGAGGATCAAGGCTGCCAAGTGAGGGGGCACAACTTAGAAGGAGAAGAAAGAAAAGGAAGTCTGATTAAGTTTTGTCTTGAAGTGTCTGTTTTTGGGTTTGTCCCTGCATTGATCTGCAAGGGAATGAGGCAAGTAATGGCCCCTTGGGGACCTTCAGGACTTTCCTCTCAATGTCAGCCGTCATTTTCAATCACCCTCTCCCTCCCAGCCATTAATTTTGGCCCAGGATCATGGGGACTTGTCCATCTATCACTCCTAATTGACACTAAATGATCTGTCAGTTTATTGATGAACGGCAGGAGTGGAATTGTCACAATATATTTTACTTTCTAACAACTCCTCCTGACAATTTTACCTTGTCCATCTCACTCTCCTCACATAAATCTCCATTGGCCTCTCATTCCTTCTCTTGGGCTGATCTGGTGCCAGCCACCTCCATGCCATCAGCACGCATCAAGGACATCAAGATGGCGGTGAGCTGCAATGTGCAGGCCCAGGGGTGGGTTTTTTCCTCTCTCTCCCTGCCCCCTCCTCTTTTTTTTTTTTTTTTTTTTTTAATAGGCTGGATGTTCCAGGAATG